ATTTATGCCACAATCCAACAAACATCATTCCGATAATTATTAATTTTCTCATTGCATATGTTCACTTGATGAAAAATATACTTCAGTGGCTTAGGGACTTACTGCCCCATATTTCAATGTCTGATGTGTTACATCTCTTGAATGGCTGTATAATCCCAATATAGATTTAAGCAATTGTGTGATGCCCCTCCATTCCTTATGTTAACTCAAGAAGAAATGAAATCAGAATCAGCAAGAGTAGACAAACGGGTCCTGATAATTTGTAGTGAAGATGGTACTGATGATTAACTCAAAGAAGTGAAAGAAACCATCATAGAGATAGGGGATCTACTATGCTTCGTAGAGGCCAATAACAAATTAGATGGAAGATATACAGAGATTCATACGGTTGCCAAAATAATGTTGCACCTAAACATAGAATTAAGGGGTGACACTGCAATTTAGGTGGTTAAAAATCGTCTGACCACATCACCGAGAAATACATTCTTTACTGCCACTGGTGCACCTTCGAACACGTCATATCCGCACCTTCAATTTGGTTGCCATCGCAAGAAAACATAGTGGCCACCTGGTTTATCAGAAGCTTTCACCATTATGTGTCATTTTGCCTCTTTATTTGGTATCTGTAGTGACTAAATCGCTAGCACCACTCCAGAATATCCCTCTTTTTGTGGGCTTAGTATTAGTGAACTGAGACACTAAGCACAACTATCGATAACAGGAAAAATTCGTACAGTTATAACTTTCATCTAACTTCACTTTCAAAGGTGTATTACCTTCTATGTGAGTCAAGCTTCGAGACAATAATTTATCTGAGAGAACGAAACCAAAATAACAACAAAATTATTCAAATGGAGGCTCATGAAGAGCTGATTACCTGTATATAAAATCATTTATGAATCACGTTTGTAAACATCGGGAAATTGTTCCCCAACTAACACTGAATTTTCTCTCAAGCTATGATCCTCTCAGATTTTGTCATGAAGTTGTTGATCACTTCATACCGATTATTAGGGATTTCATTTTTGAAGATGTTCACTTCATGAAAAATATACTCCAGTGGCTTAGGGACGTAAAGGTCTATATTTGAATGTCTGATGGGTTACTGCTATTGACTGACTGTAAAGTCACGATATCGATTTGAACTTTTGTGTGATGTCCCTCCATGTCCACTCTCTCTATTACTTATGTACCGTAAGGTTCCCAGAATATCTGCATACCTATATGACATAACGAAGTCGTGTGATTCACGCAACTCATCCGTTTGTGGTACTAACTATTTTTTTTAGACGTATCAATTTTTTTATGCAGTATCACTAAACACAACTAAATTTTTTTTTCAACAGTACGTGCAGCAGGCACAAAAAATTTTAATTAGATGTATTTTTTTTCGGTGTTCTGAACTTAGCATTATTTTACTGTATAGTAAATGAACATCATTTTTTTTAAAACAAAAAAGCTGGTTTGGTAAATTTTCCTCGACATGGTTCTTAGAGTTCTTGTTTTCTTTTCCAGGTGCGACGGGCACTGGACAGGAAACAAACGAAGCACGGGATCCAACGAAGAACAACAAGGAAGCTATGTACTAACACCCTATTAGCATAGGCAGACAAACCAGTAGGCATGCCACCAAGCCGCTCGGAAGATTTTTTTCACCCGAAATTATTATTATTTTTTTTTTTGATTACAGCTTGATTCCACACTGTGTTTTTGGTACAAGTATGGAATTTTCAGCATGGGTATCGGTAGCCCAAATTTTGCAGGCCGACCATAGATATTGGGTGTGCGTCGGCAGGGGATCGAACCTCGGACCATGTGCATGGTCGGCGAGAGTCCTAACCACTGTGCCACCGAGTTTTTTTTTACCTCCGACTGGTTCTGTCTTAGGGTCTTCACCACCCCACTAGGGGGGAGTGAGCTGTAGCGGTAAATAATTCCCCAAAATTATTGACCACAGCAACCACTCACCATTGGATGCTGACCACCACTATTTAAGTCGACTTGTTTAGCTGAAGGCTTCCGGTCAAGCATCCCCGCCATTTGGTACCTCGTCGTGACACGTGCACGATCACTAGCCAGCTAAGCGTTCGTCTGACGGCTTGTTTAGGTCCCGAAATATATATCGTAGTTTGGACGATTAAATATTGGCTTTTACTTTGTTTTTGGTATGCGAGAATATATTAGAAGTTACTGTGTAAGATAATTCCGTCAACCTCTAAACTTATGTTAAATCATGAAGAAATGAAATCGAAATCAGCTAGAGTAAACTATTCGTATAACGGCAACGAGGATCCGGAAATTTAGTAATGACGATAGTGTTGATGATGAATTCAAACACCTCGAAGAACGGGTATCCACTACGCTTCGTAGAGGCCAATATCAAATTACGGAGAAAAAATACAGAGATTAAAATGGTAGGTAAAAAAGTGTTGCACCTGTACATAGAATTTAGGAGTGACACTGTGAGTTAGGTACTCAAAAATCACCTGACGAGTTCACTGAGAAAAACGTTCTTTACTGACACTTTACGAATAACCTTCTCCAGCTGTCCACTGGTGCAACATATTGTCAAGGAAATGTTACCTCGATTATCTCATTCGATGAGTATTTATATGTTCCCCTGCTCTTGCAACACTAGGCATATAGAAACATATCCCACAACAGTGTTCGAAAGCATCTCCCAGTTTGGTAGAGCAAAGGAGAACGTAGAGGTATTAATTCATCCATATCACAACATATTGTAGATACTCACCACGCAGCATCTCACACATCGTTTATTATAGAATAAAAAGCTGGCAAAGTATGCTGAAAGGGACAGGATTGCATTTGCTTTGTATATCAGAGACTTTAGTAGTACATAACATAAAGCTAGAACTTTGTGTACAAAACAATTTATACGATCTCTTTCGTTACCATGGCCCAGATTTTACTATGTAATTCACATAACAACTTTGTTATCCATCTATATTCCATTTTCCACTTTTGTTTCATTTTATTTCACTTTATATTATCATATTCTAACATTTTATCTAGTTGTATTAGACGACATTCCAATCATCCTGTTTCCATCTTATTATTTTCACATTTCTGAATGTACTTTGTTATCCGATCATCGATTTCACTCTTCTTTATTGAAATTTATGTTGACCTCTATTTATTCATTTAGTTTTTCATTCATATATCTAATCAATTCAACTGTGACTTATAATCCAATACATCAACATAATTATAGGACTTTAGTATTTCCACTTACTGTCAAATTTTAGTACACACACACACACACACACACACACACACACACACACGATCGATTGATATTGACTACACGACTGTACAGCTATGAAAATGAAATCGTAGAAAAGAGGACCTTATATTTCAGTTACCAGCAGATATACTAGAAAAGGTTCAAAGTATATGGCTTAAACTCATCAAGGGGTGCTATATATGTCCAAACCATGTTCGCTTTAAACAGTTAAAAAAAATGTGGGCATTGGATATATGATATTCATTATAATTAAGGTTTTTTGTATTTCCAACGTCAATAAAAACAATTTCGTTTTATATTTTATTCATTGGGAAACACGAGATCATTTCTAATAATAATGTATGATCAAGGGGTTCTCAAAACTATATTGTAGGATGAAGTTACACAGATATGATATATTCCTACTGCCATCTTGACGTCTGATGGATGATGTCATATTATCCTCTAGTATCTTACTCAATGATTAGGATTTTAATTTATCCTACATTCTTGCTACTAGAACCAACAATTTGAGAGGACATCAGATTTAGATTGAATTATAACAAGCAACAAAAGTTAGTTAAGGAGGATTTAATGAATTTAAATCTCAGATTTCGTTATTCTAATCGAATTGTGAATCAGTAGATTTCTCTATCATCAGTACTTGTCATTTCATCACCTTCTATCGACTTATCAAAGCAAAATTTAATCTTTACTGAACAAGAAATATAAAGGGTTGATACACGTCTGAAATCTATCTACATATTCTAAACTCTGTCTCCGATTTGATAGGTTCCTTCCTTCTCAGCTTTTCGCGCAATAGAAACCATTAGAATCCTAGTGATCCTTTTCGCTTACAGTTAACAGAATTGTGAACACGGTATTAACTTAGCTAAGAAAGCAGGATCAGTTCAAAACAAAAACAAATTCTAGCTAATTACTTGATAAATTTACAATTTAAAAATTCTGCAGTATTTATGAACTGATAATGTCTAAATAATAAGTGGATATATTTCTTCAAAGTGCGTCGGTGACACAATGGCAGCATGCTCGCTAACCACGCATGTAGTCTGAAGTTCGATCCCCAGACGACGTATTACTTTAACTCACTGAGCCAGTGATAAGACGGGTAAACAAGGAAGGTTGGACATGAAGCTAGCAACCCCATCCAGTAAAAATAAGTACTACTGCTACCGAAACTTCAAGCCTCTAGCTTGGAGCTCTGTATTTCACCGGGAACGTATAGGAATTAAAGAAACTTTCTTCAAAATTCTGAGTTTATTCTGTAGAGTAGAATCTCTGATTCATACTGTTACATCATAGTTTAGAGCGCATTATTGGTAACATTTATCAGTAGTATATGTAGAGATGTTCGTCTGCATAATAGAAACATCAGATAGCAGGGAGATAGATTTGACGTTATTCAGAGAAAGCAAATAATTCAGCATTACGGAGACTTATGGGAGATGTGAAAGGAACATAAAGAAGCACAATATGTAGAACAGAAGTAGCATAACATGGAAGATCTATGCAAATGGTGATTCAAAGATATTGTATACGTAATTTTGGCCATATAATGATACCAAAAGCAAGTTGGGCAGGCGTGGAGCCTGGTGAAAACGTTGGCTTGGGACCGAACACAATGAAGACGTGTTATTTGAGGCTTATGTTTTTGTAGGAACTAAAGGAGATAGTAAGAAATCATATTTGTAAAATCTCAGCGATATTGAAATGAGTAATTCCAACGTTTCGTTCGGCAATCTGGTCCGAACTTCTTCAAGGAAATTAATCGAAATTGACATAACAGGTTTATATATAAAAGGAACATCTTTTGGTTTTAAAAACTTTGTCCAATCATGATTTATAAAACAAATATTAACGTTGGAATTACTTATTTCAATATCGCTGAGATTTTACAAATATAATTTTTTACAAATGTCTACTTCTCACTCGGCACCCAAATATTATAGAACTATTCTGTCAAATCTTGACTACAGTTCATTTGATTTATTTTGTAATCGAATTAAATTAACAAAGAAACTATGTAATTGGCACAATCATCGTGTTTCCACTCTCCGTTGTCTGCAGAAGAATGCGTATCCTAAATTCCTAGCTGTCCAGTCACCTGACAACTTCAGTAGGTCGAATAAAGCAGCTCAACTTTCAGAAAGAAGACAAAGTAATAAGTTTGACAGGGTGCTTCAACTAAACTCTAATCCTAAACACCATAATTTTGAAAATACGTCTAATCATAAAATTCTAGATACTAACAGTTTGAACAGACATGAAGGTGTGATGTTAGATGACGCATAGGAAATCCTGATTAATAAATAAGAATGGATATGTATCACTAACTAATAATACTTGGTTAAACTTTCCTAACTGTCTATATCTACTTATGGAGACGTCAAGACATTGTTTTACAACTGTTTATCCGCACACATACACACTGTGTATGTGTTTAACAAAGGTAGATCAATATTTGTAAGTCTGAGGTCAAATTTTGATCACAACTCATACAATTTTGTTTATTATACTTGTTAATATTTGTTTTATAAATCATGATTGGACAAAGTTTTTAAAACCAAAAGATGTTCCTTTTATATATAAACCTGTTATGTCAATTTCGATTAATTTCCTTGAAGAAGTTCGGACCAGATTGCCGAACGAAACGTTGGAATTACTCATTTCAATATCGCTGAGATTTTACAAATATAATTTTTTACAAATGTCTACTTCTCACTCGGCGCCCAAATATTATAGAACTATTCTGTCAGTTCATTTGATTAAAGGAGATAGTATTACTGTATATCTAAATATATATATATATATATATATATTTCTGAAGCGTCTGAACGAGCTTCTTCTGAACACATGAGTCAGGTAGATTCCAACGTCTTCAGTTACATGTATAAGACGAACTCAAAGAGGAAGAAATAAGATTAATTGGACTGATTCCCAAACTAGAATGAAACAGCAGCTGTCCAGTACTCCCTGGTTTTCAATGGTTGTCTAACTGATATCAATCCGTGATCAACTCGTAAAAACATAACTAACCCTTACAACACAAACTATAGAAAACTGATTTAAATAATTTCAAAAACCTTGTAGGCATCAACTACATGCCCATTGACAATAAGGTAAACTAGAAAATTGTTTGGAGGATTTCATCATGAGCTGACATCAGTTAGAGAACTTTTGGGAAACCTGCAGAGAGTACTGGAAGACTGTCTCGTCCTACTTACGAAATCTTCAGTAGTGAGCATCCATCGGGCCTCGAACCCAGGACCTTCTGGTTATAAGGTGAGCTAGCACGTAGACCGTTAAGCCACTTGACCTCGATCCAATAGTCATCCCATGAATTCCAATTTCTGTCAATTTATGACATTCATCATACTGATGAAGAGTCCCAAATTAGGACGAAACAGCTATGCAGTATTCCTAGATGGTTTTCTAACTGCTGTCAGCTCATGATGAAATCCTCTAACCAATCAAACAAAATCCCTACAAATCCAGTAGTTGAAAATTAAACTAGAAAATATCTGCAAATAGATCTTGTATGAACCTGGAATGTCGATTGGGGATAATTTTCAGAAATACGTTGATGAACACTCCAAATAGTAACATGAATATAATTGACTTCACAAGACCTGCATGATATACGTGCATATACAGTAGGCGAAATGAGATGGTTTAGCCTTAACTGCTGAATATAAAACTAGATTGTTTGTAAAGTG